TCCTAGATCCGCCCCAGGTCCTTTTCAGGTTGCTAAGAACCCGGTAGTCTTTGCAAGCTTGGGAGAAAACTGTCCATGAGACACTGCCAAAAAATTTGTGGGATGACTGCCGCATCATCAGCGAAGCCGAGCATCCCTCTGATACTTAACCAGTCGCCCATCTGATCTAGTTTGTAGGCGCACTCCGTCAGTTGGTGTCCCCAAAGCATGCTTTAAGGGCAAAGAGAAGATGCCGAAGAGGGCGGGCGTGAGATGGCACAACCTTGTTACACAGCTCTTGATGTCAAAGGGCTTGGACATGCTGTCTTCTTACTGGATAGCTGTCTTCATGTCACTATAGAATGCGCTGATCATGCATTGTAGGTGGTAATCGATTTTCAAAAGGATGTTGAAGAGCCCATCCCTGCTAACCGGGTCGAATCCTTTGCTTTGTCGAAGTTGATAAAGGTGCCATATGGGGGCTTCTGCTGTTCACTACATTTCTCCTGTAGTTGACGGAGGGAGAATACCATGTCAACTGTTGGGCGTTCCGCTCGGTAGCCACATTAGGACTCAGTGTAGACCCATCATAATACATATATACTTTATATATTTCAACATGGGAAAATCTTCAGTGACTCATCATAAAAGTACACTGTTGTACAAGATTGCCGTGTTGGAGCCTCACTGACAGTTGTTGTAAAGTTGGCCTCTCTCTCTTTTGAAGCATCCAAGAAAACCTGATTTCCGTAAATAGACGAGTAGCTATTCCAAATTGGTATAAATCTGCTAGCGTTCTATCAGCTGTTCCATCTACTAGCTGTCCTCTGATTGGCTAAACTACTCACTATCTAGTCTATTGTAAATAGTGACTAGCGTAGCAGAATGCGCTTGTTAACACAATGACGGCTACTTTTTGCGTTTTTTAAGCTAGAGTTTTAAACGACTAGTAGATTAATGCTAAAATAATTAGATTATTCGCTCTCGATTTCTATACGTGATATTTAAGGCTGCGCCGTCGTCAACCATCTCGCGATGAAAATCTCGAGCTCATAATCTAATAATTGTCAAATACAGCGCCCCGCTATAGCCAAAGCCACGCTTGCAGTAGTTTGTGCGCGGCTTGGGCAAGCCTAGTTTGAGCTCAGAATCTCTTAGACTCAAGTACGATGTACTGCGGATGCTAAATAAGTTTAGCAGGTACGTACCCCGGAGAAAGTCTCCTAAATGTTTTGTTCTTGTACAGAGAGACAATCTGGGAATCCCTTGTGTCTAGATGTACTTCGATCTCCTTCTCTCCAGCACTGGCCAAGGACGTCATGCAGGGGCTGCAGGAGGAGGTTGCTTAGCCGACTAATATATTCGCTTTTATATTTTATTTACTCTCAACAATGGCGTGACGACACATTTCGTCACATTTTTTCCCGATCTTTAATTGATGATTCTCCATATTCTCGTTGTCTGTCTGACGTTTGATCGATATTATGAGAAACTTTCTGCTGATCTCAAGCCCTCTCTAGAATGCCTCGTTGGTATTATTAAGCCCATATAGTTATAAATGAATAATTAATTGGTGCCATTTTTTTAGTTTCTTCCCCATAATGATGTCAATGGGATGACTTTTTCCTCAAAGTGGATTGTAATTACAAAAGCTTTAAACCATATACCACCACGTAAAAGGAAACTTCAATGGTCTTCGAAAATTTGTTTCCCCGCGCTCTCTACCGAAATAGTTCTTTCTAGCGCGCGCCATACAATGAGTGCTCCCTCCCCCTCTACTAACTATGCTCTCTTCCTGCCATCGATTTTACGAACTGATTTGAAGACGTTAATGCAGATTTTAAATTTTAACCAACTTTCCAGTGGTTCAGAAATATACCGTGGTTATAGCTGGATCGAGTCCATAGGTGAGATATTTCACAATCAAAAAACTTTAATTTTATAGGTCTATTATTATTAGGTAATAATTATCACTATCATGTGATTACGGATTACATTTTTTTCAAAGAAGAAAAGAAGCTTTTCTCATAATCTCGTTTTTTTTTTTCCAGACGATTTTTCTTTATCTAGTGTGATAACGGCCATCGTTTAAATTATTATAAAACAAGATCTTATAAACGCATTTACGTACTCGACACGCTATTCTTATCCTGAAGTTCGCACGCGTAATGAAATTCGTGGGCGCGTAGGTTCAGAAAACTCGCGCGCTTAAACTACTTACGTCACACACGTCAGAACAAATTATGACGTCATAAAGCCGACGTTTTACAAGGCGTTGCAGTTTTAAGCTCACACCGAGCTATTAGGAAACAGGGACATCGTGCAGAGTTTTTAGAAAAGCGACTTCAGCTAATTAAATGAGGGATCCTCACAAGCTTGGTTGTCAATTTGGCAGCATGCAAGAGCTACGACTGGTGTCTTAAGGATGATTACAACAGACAAGGATAAAGACCTCGCTCCGGAAGGTCAGCGCAAACACTTTCTATTCATTTTGATAGTAATCTTCATAACTTCAATTCTCGCTGCATAGTGATAACCCTTTGATCAGTTTTTATTCCCTCTGCAGTTAAGCTTAAACAGTGCGCTCGGCTAATACACATTTTCGGCAAGTATGTTAAACAACAAGAGTTTTAGTAAAAGAACATCAACGTGTATTAATTTGGAATGTATTGTATATATGCTAGTCTTTGTATCGAAATAAGAAATTTGCCCTTAGTTTATAAGAGGTGATGAAATGGTAATTAACTTTAGTGCAGAAAAAGTGTGAAAGTTGAATTTTTTTAATTGTAGTGGCGCGATAAGAGCAAACACTAATCCAGTGTCAACTTAGCTAAAAAGTAATTAATTCAACGGAAAAAGAAGCCGATAGAATTGTGTGGATAGGCGATCGAAATTATCTTTTTCTTTCTACGTACTGCCGAAGAAGTACAACCTTTGATGGTGGTCAAAAAGAAAATATTCTCGGATTCCTTCAGTTTCCAGCATATTCCATTTTGAGCCAATTCAACTTTCCGGGTATCGAGATGATTTCAAAGATGTTTTACTGCACATTGATTTATACAAGTTAAATGAAATGCTGCAAGGAAACTCTACTACGATAGTGAAGCGGCAAATTTCTTCACTTCAATTATCCGGGCCATTTTTGTTTTTTATCAACCAAGGAACTTTTTGACAACGGCTATTTACGATTTTGTTAAATTTACATTTCGCGGCAAAATGATTAAAAGCATTCATTTAAAAAGCGATTCCTTAATCCCTAAATCCCAAATTGATTTGATTGCTGGCAAGCTGTCAATGATTTGCTTACTTACGCAATTTTGCTTGAACTCCATTCGTTCTAGAATTTCCGTGGAAGACGTTAATGAAAAATAGGTACAGAACCGTAATCTGCCAAATTCTGCTATCAGTTTTGAGGAAAAAAAAAAAGGTTCAGTGCTACTTATCCTTGTTTTTACTTACAGAACAAGTATTCTTAAACAATCGATGAAACAGATTGAATGAAAAGCTACAAGAATGTCGACGTTTTCTTTTGAAGGCAACTGAACCTGCCTTTGTAAATTAAATTTAATTCGTATTTTTCATTTGTTACCTTTTCTTATCTTACGCTGAACTTGATATAACTGAGACCAACTTGTCAAGAATGTGATAATTGGTTTGAATCTAATAACTAGGCCATAATGTCGTAACGTAATGAGAATATTAACTGCGGCAATCCATTCATACGATCCCCCCTTCCTCTCCAGGGGAGGTACTTTCATAAACATTGGGTGGGGAAGTGCAGCCAGCTTCCCAAAATCACGTTTGTTGTCGACAGGGGAACTGAGTATTTTAAAAATTGAAATTTGGTATCTATGACTTCTGTTTTAAGCTTTCAGTCTTGTCAACATTACCATCGCCTTCATATTTCCATTCTTTCATTTTTCAGAAGTGAGGCCAAATTACTGGAATTTTATCAACAGCACCTCGGACTTTGTCAAATGGTAACTTCATTGAAGAAATTTTCCTAACTCCTGCAATTATGTAATGGTTTTGTTACAAGTTTTTTTCTTTAATCATAACAAAACCCATACCACGTGCACACTAACCGATTTTATCATAATTTGCTTTATTCCAGCAACTGGAGACTTATTCTGCCCTTTTGTTTTGTGATTCTGTTATTTTCTGCTACTTTTATCAAAAGCAATGGCGTCACCGTTGCCGTTAATATCTGGGTGTTTCCAAGTAAGAAATACATATTTTGTTCTTACTGCGAATATTGTTTTTTGTTTTTGTTTGTTTTTTTAAATTTTTAACGCTGATAGGAAAGTTTGTTTAGAAACACTACCACAGTGTTCTAAATAATCGTTTTTTCAACAGGTTTTGCTGCGCTGGCTTACTGTATGGGTTCCGTTTCCGTTGGGCTACAAAAATGGATATCCACGCTCATACATCCAGGTAATACTGAATGGCAATTACGAAATATATACTCAACACCACACATGTACAATTGGTGAAAACTACGTGAAGGACATAACTTTGCTAATAGTAACAAGAACACTGACATAGCATAATAACAGCACTGAGAAAACGGACTTAACTTTACACGGTAAAATAATAACAACATTAGCCTACATGTGAGAACCTACATTTGTTTTAAAGACAGAAGGTGTTGGTTTTAATTTTTAGTTGAACTGAATCCTTACTTTTGAGATTTTGTCTTTCCTACACGCGGATTTTTACTGTAGTGCTTTTGATTTCAATCTTTACACAGACTTCTGGCACAATAATCATGGACCGCCATTTGTTCCAGTTCCACCTGCCCCACCCCCACCACCACCATCTGCACCTCCCCCTCCTCCTGCAAACACGCTGAACGGACACAAACGGCAGGGGGTGGACTGCAGGAAACTGTCCTGGGAACAGCTCAGCCCAGACGTTGTGAATAGGGACACGATTTGGAAAAAGGTAATCTCACGTTGCTAATTTCTGATTTTTTAAAAGTTTTTCTGAATGTTGTTCAACCGCTTTAGGAAGTACATTAAAAAAAAAAAAACCTTCGACTTAAGTTCATTGCTTTTATAATTGAAGTTAACGCTCCAATATTTGTGCCAAGAAGTATCGTGAGCTCCACACTTAGCCTTATTCTCGTTAGAGAAAAGAGGAGTCAAAAATATTTATTTCACGACTAAGTTAGTTCAGATTGAGGGCCCATAACTAAAATCAATAACTTCTTAGACTGCTCCATTGCCGATCCAATACTGTCTAAGTACTGGACCAGGCACTGTTCCGAATGATCCCGCAAGGTCACTCTTGAAGATTTTCTGGTAGTTTCAGTCGTACAATAAATCCCTTATTAACCGAGCCTGCTTGGGAGTGTACTGGGAGAATATTGGCCCCGGTCTTTTTTATACATACTGTCGAGACCTTGGGCCGATATTCTCCCAGTACAGCCCTTGCTCTTGGTTAAGAAGATATACACATACCAGGCTGACCCGAAATCTATTTAAGAAAAGAATCTCGTAACATTGCGCTTTAAAAACAAAAATTAGTAAGGTGAGAAAGTAAATTGATATTACTCTTAAATTAATATTTTACCAGGTTAGGAAACATTTGCCTTTGGAGGGTATTCTCGATTCAGAAGATATAATAAAGGAATTTTCAGTCAGACCATCCACAGGTACATCAAATACATTAAAAATAACGCTGTCTTTAAAAGTGGGTAGATCCTACAATAAGCTATGTTTTACAATGCTAGACAACGTTAACGTTTACGTACACCCCACTGACTCGAGCCGCTTCTGTTTGTTGTCCAAACTATATTTATATATAATCCGTATAGCGATATTTAACAGTACATGAACCAAGGAGCAT